AAGAATGCTCCTTACACTTGTGATTGTTGGGAATAATGACCCCCTTATAGATCGCTAAAAAGATCAATGGTGTCAGTGGGATCTTACTTGAGAGGCAGAAATTGCTCATTGCTCAAGGAACCCCTAGAAACCTCCGGAGGAACCCTAGGGTTCCATGGATCCTTGGTTGAGGAACTCTAATCTAGAAGCTGGTGGTCCAAGAATGTCACCAATAGGTGATAAGATTAAATCATCTTCTGCTACACTTGGGTTCAGCTGTTCGTAGGCCAACTAAAAGCACCATAGAGGCTGACTTATTACCATTATGAACAGGGGCGGACTGACCATTTGGAAACTAGGGCACTGCCCGAGGGCCCGGGGTCAGTAGGGGGCCCCATGAGATGCCCCTGGTACTTTTTTCATAGGCTTTTTTGAGTTTGGGCAAGGACACAGGGGCCCCATGATCCCCTATTGCCCGGGGGCCCCACGAGTTGTCAGTCCGCCCCTGATTATGAACTACTCAGCAATGATAAGCTGAAGAGGAGAAGTGGCTGTGCACAAAAAAACAAACAAACACTGATTTCACTTTTCCACTTCAAGTTTTCAAGCATAGGTCCCCAAATATGCATTAACTACTATGGACATGAAGAATATGGGGGCCTTGCTATGTTTTTATGCTGGAAGATAGTAATCCTTACTGTAGCTTCCATTCAAATGTTGTACGCTAATGCTACAAAGTCAAATAATAAAATATTACAGCAGACATATATCCTGACTAAAATAGTAAAAAAAAAAAAAACAAACACACAACAGTAATGCAAGAAATAATGAAAAAAAAAAAAAAAAAAAAAAAAAAAAAAAAGTCCAGGCCAGGAATTCTCCCCCCAGTAATGCCAGTAACTTGACCAAATGGCAGTATCTGATCATGTCATCAGAAGTAAAGGGGATCATTAAAGTTTATGCAGAACCAATGGTTTGCCATTGCCTTTGACTGAGAATATGTAACCAATGATGGCATTTCATCAAATATCTGGTTACGTGACCAGCGCTAGCAGGAAGTCATTTTAGATCGCAGAGAAAACTAGAGTATTTTTCACCTCTGTCTTATTTTTCTATGCATTATTTGGAGGCCTTTTATAGACTACTCTTTTTTTTTTTAGAGTATAAAACCACTGTAACACTAATAATAAAAATTTTACAAAATTAAAACAGTCGCTGAAAAAAAAAATCTAAGACAAGCTAGCCATTAGTTACATTTTACAAGTAGTGGTTCACAAATCTCACTGGATATCAAGGAAATAAGTGGGCAGGGGTGAGCAGGAGGTCTCCTGTAAATTTATGACCACATTACAGGTCTATCTTTTTATTATTCACGAAGAATATGTGGGCCTAGATATTAGGAGGATTTACTCCCTGTTCAATATACAGAGCATAGGTGTGATATGATGTATTTATTCATTACTCCGGAAACAAACTATCATCTAGGCATCTGGAAATCACAAGGAAGGTATCATGTGCATGCAATGAACAAACACTGATATTTTATAATTGTAAAATGTGCCTGGTCAAACTAAGGACAAAGTTGTGTTTCATTATAGTTATTTGGTAATTGTTCAGTGTGAATAGCAGTACAAAGGTATGGTTTGTTGAGTGAGCTAGTATACTGATAATGTACAAGGTATAGGAACCCACATCAGCCAATCAGAAATAGGTTTTACTGAAACTGTATGCTTTAATTCCATTTGGCAGAATATTATGGTTTGCTATGTCTTGCATGTCAATACTGCTCCACTGAATATGCATAGGAAAATAAAAATTCACGCAGGCAGTGAGAGACAGGTGTAATGCAGCAAACACCGGAGGAGAGAGCGGTACATACCCCAGAATACCCACAAATTCAACAGGGTGACATAAGCACTGTTGAAATATAAAGACAAATGCTTTTCCATGATAAACATAAAGGGAACCTGTTTGAACAGCTGATACATGTCACAGATGAGGCTCCATACAGCACTGGAGGACTGCCACTGCCAGACAGCCAAAAGCTGTGCCTATTCTTTGGCAGAGCACATCTGCTTTCTGTAACATCTCACACAGTGTCCTGCTTGCCTATAACATTTCTCATGATAGGCTGCTGTTAAAAAGAATCTATGCAATTGGCCAATTATTACCTGTAAAATCCATTTCTTAGGAGTGCATTACAGGACATAGGAGACATATTTAGGAACATTTGGCTTTGTTACTGCTCTTAGGAGCTTGGACACCGGCAAAACTGTAGGCACAGCCCAGTGTAACCTCTCCCACTCTCAGCCTGCCTCAGTTTTGAAGCAAGCAATGGTAGGATTGGCCCATTAGAACAAAGATGAAGAGGATTTTACAGGTAAGACAAAAATATTATTTTCTATTCAAATTCATTCCAACTCAGGATTGGCAACACAGGAAATGAAAGGCTAACAGACCCACAAAAACTAACAAGTTACTAAAACTGTCTTGAAGGAGCCTATAGAGCTGCCTGAAGAACCTTATGGCCAAATCCAGCTTTAGAGGAGGTCTAAACATCAACATGGTAAAAATTAAAATGTATGAACAGAAGACCTGGTAGCAACCTTGCAAATCTGAGGAACATATGCCTACTACTGAAAAACCCATGAAGCAATAATTTGATTTATAGGACTGTGCTTTGACCAAGAAAAGAGGTTCTTGACACCTGAGGTCATAGGCATGAATGATGAGCTGTCGAATCCACCTAGCATTAGCTGGAGTGGGTGTTTGGTGGGGAGGTTGAGCAGACTGTCTCTACAGGGGCCTTCAGGAACAAAAAAACAGAGTTAGACTGTCAAAAGGGAGCTGTAGCTGTGATATAAACTTGAATCTAGGCAATGGAGGAACATTTCCTTAAGATCTTTGAAAGCAGGATAGAGATAGTAGAACAATTAAGCTGAAAAAAAGAAAACCACCAAGAGAAAAAAAGAGGCCCTGGGCCTCAAAACAAACTTGTTCTTGTGTAGCACAAGCAAGGGCAGACAAGACGAGCACAAGAGGGCAATGATAAAGGCAATCTTGTGAGAAAGGGAAGACCGAGCCATATTTATTTAAGCTCCACAGTGCCGTGAGCACACTAGAACCTAAGGGACTGGGGTACTCATGGTCAAACCAGGTTGACCTCATTTTGTGGGGGACCTGCCAAGGCAAGGTCTACCCAAGTATTAGAGCAGACTCTATTGATGGTCTCTGAAGAACCAAAATGACTAGGTTGAGATCTTAACCCCTTGACACCGACATCACACAAATATGTGGCCTCACGGAACTGGGCTTTTTCTGTAGGGCCGCATATTTGTGTACCTGTCTTTGTGCTGGGACCGTGCTGCACTGTGCGCAATTCAGTCTGGATCCTGCTCACCTTCCTGCTGCTCCATGCTGCACACCAGATGTGACATCTGCCCCAGACACTTCTAGAATATATACACATGAACTGGAAGTGCCTGATGATAATGTCTTTCCAGTTCGCTTGCTGGTCTCCAAGTTATCCTGGGATATCTAATACCTCCACAACAAAGAAAGCTAACTAAAAGCCCCTCAAGAGCTGCACATGCTGTTAGGGAGCATTCTCATAGAATTATATGGAGGCTTTGGAGATGCCACATGGGGTACAATTTTTTAAGTAAAGCCAAGCAAACACAACTTTGTGAACAGGAATGTAAGGTAACCATTTTATTTAGTGAGAGGCGCTCTAATTGGCATTCAGAGTGCTTTAAAAAAGTGTGTCAAATGCCACATTTTGAAGCAAGTGTAAATGAGTCCTTAAGCAGAACTCCCTTTGGGTTTTAAACATGACTCCACCTTCATCAAATGCCTCTGGTATTTGACAGCCAAATGATCAGAGGACCTGCACTTCAATATTGTTAACTTAGGTGCTTTTTACAACAGGACTGACCCACTTAAACACTATAAAGACTGTGAATCCATTTAATATGTCCTTTTCTTTTTTATTTCAGAAATTATCAATGGAGTTACCAGAGAAAAGATTTATGCATTACAAAACATCCAACTGCAGGTGTATATCTGTATAACCTGCAGGGAGGCCCCGCTGTAAACAGATATACTATGTTCTAGGGAACACAAGAAATGTCACAACTCTTCATCCATATTCAACTAGTGACACATGAGAAATACTTCATATATGTAAAGGCCCTGATTTCAGTAGTAACTGGTGTGTTGACCTTATACCTATTAATTAGTATATGTACACTATATAAAATGCCTCAGATCACTCTCATTCTTAAACAGATCTGCGGAACCCCCAGTAAACATCAGGACCACTGCTAACCTCAAGCAATGGCTTCAGGTACTGAGACAATTAAAGTGCAACCAAAGCCATTTTTTATGGTTTAGGATAAAGTGGAGAAGGGTTACTATCTGTAAGGTTTTTGTTGCCATCTCTGTCTGTTAATCCTTTCTATTTGTCCTCGTGACCATTGTTATCATGACTGAACATGAGGGAAAAATTTTGCATTTTAAGTTCTTACTGGAACAGCAATAGAGGGGGCTTTTTCCAATAGGAACCCTTGTTTCATTGTCTAAAGAGGCATTTCACTCTCTTTGGAGAGACTACCTATCACTTCTTTCAACCATTCCCTATTCTAACAAAACTAGAAAAAACGTTTTGGCTTTAGATACACTTTAATGTAATTTTAAAGAGTAAAAAAGGGTCTCTGTAACTATTTTGTAATCAGTGTTTTTTTTTTCCATTCTAGCACATTGGAACATTTCATGTATGTATTTCAGCCTGTTTACTGTATTATCCTAATAGTGAATGTAGACAGTACCGGGATGATAAAGCCAATTGGATAGCTGAAATGTGTTAAATAGACTAAACATGTTCAGTGATGTTAAACTAGCTTCTACTAGCTACTTGACATACCTCTCTCTGTCCATTTCTCTCTTCAGGGTTAGGCTCATCTTTTGTACTCTTGGTTGTAATATGTCTTCAAAGTCCACCAGGGTTCAATGCCTTCCCACAGATGTCTCTTTCCAACCTCTTTACAAATGCTGTCATTCGAGCTCAGCACCTTCACCAGCTGGTTGCAGATACCTACAGAGACTATGTAAGTATCATGAATCCTTATAATTAGGACATGCAAAATTGTATTGGTTATAAGTGATTGTTGGGATATCTCCACCTGCAAATGGAGTCTCACCCCTTTTTTTTGCTGCAGCAGCAGTCTCACTTTGATTGCTCTGTTCCTTGTAATGCAAATTTAAAGAAAGTTTCAACATGTAGACTGCAAGTCCTTGTAAGGCTGGAAATGGTGGGTTGGATGTGGAAGCACATGCAAAGGTCTTCCCCCCCCCCCCATCCCAGGAGTTAGACATGACGTTGGAGAGGGTGATTCAACACACGTAATCTGGCCAAACATGGATCAAAATTTGGCCGGTTCAGCAGGAACCAGATGAATTTTGATCCATGTATGGCTGTTCATGTTTATGAGAAGTCAATCTATTGATGGACTTTTGATGAACTGGCTTGTTGGAAAATTTTGCTTCGATCAGCGCATGCAGTGCTGATCAGTGCATTCTGACAGCGGGAAAGTCCTGCTATCAATACAATGCCATATCGAGGAGGATGCCCCAATCCACCAATTGGCTGAAAGAAATCTGAACCTTGCATGGTCAACTCAACATCTACCCAAAATGAAAATGTCTGTCGTAAGTTTATTGACCAATCCACAGGGAATGAACCTTTGCATGTTCTTAAAATACACTGTTCATTTCTTGGTGGGTCTCTATTTTTTCCAGTTTAAACTATTTTTATAGTTGCTATGAAAGTTAATATCTTAGGGAAAAATGTATTCCCCAAAATTCAGTACTATGCAGAACCATCAAGCTTTCCATTTCTAATTCATAATAACGATGAATAATAACGATACCTGAGAAGTTAACAATTCTTCAATTTAATGAAAATATGCATATATTTAACTTTATTACCTTGTTCTGAATCAGTTAATCGGTGGAAGCAAACAATCAATGATTCATCAGCAATCACACTCCTAGCTTATCTATACCCAAAACACTTTTTTTAATGTTTTGGATAGACTGGGAAACAGAAAATCTTTCAGGTTTTATAGCTATGTGGGGCTCCATAGGAGAAAATAACCTTTGCTTTCTGTTCTGGGAATAACATTTTACCAGGCAGGGAATAAAGGAACACCAGCCACAGGGGAAACAGACAATAAAAAGCTAACAGGGGCTACAGACTTCATTTACTTAACAAAAAAAAAAAAAAAAAAAAAAAAAAAGCATTTATACTTCTGTCTTTATTACTGTTAGAGAGATTTCCCTTCATTTCCTGTTCCAGAGACAACCTTTTTACCAGACAGGAAATGAGGCAATTTCTCTAACGGAGCCTTTGACAGTAAAATCTTACAGGAGTTCTAATTCTTTCCCACAATAAACAGAGCTTAAAAAAAGTTTTTGCTATTGATACACATTATTCAGTGCATATTTATCAATACCTATATCACTACAAGACAAAATCAGTAAGTCCTAGTTTACACTGTCATTGAAAGCAGGTGTTTGAGTGGCATTTTTAATGCTCCTCAAATGCCTATGCAAATTATCACTTTATCAAAACATGAAGTGTTAGCGTCACTTCACAACTGAAGCCTCATGTTGAGTCAGGAAGAGTTTTGAAGCCTTTCACAGCCTCCCATTCAAGTCTATGGTGATGCTGCACAAATGCGCTGACAGGCGTTTGCTGTACGTTAATAACATTTCAGTTTATTATAGGCATTAGTGGTGTGGTTTTAACACTTGTAAAACGCTTATAAAATGCTTCAGAACTGCACATAGGGTGCTTGGGGAGTGTTTTTAACACTTGTACAAAGCCAGTCTAATGCCCATACAAAAGCTCATTAATGCCTGTCTAACGCCTATACTAAACTATAGGAGCGTTTGGTAAGAGTTAGAAATGTAGTGAACAAGCCCTAAAGTATTCAACTCTCATTTCTAATAAATTCTAATTAATCTTTAAGAGAACTCGTCTTACTTCCATTGTTCAGTATATCCCAAAATGTTGTTCTGACCTGCCTTAGAGGTTGTGATGAAACTGAGAATGCCGTTCATATCTGAACAGAAAGCCTCATAGAATCAACACACTGGTCAAAAAATAGAGAATTTGTTTTTCTTTTTTAGCAGTTTTTCCCATTTTACCAACTGTATGGAGCCTAGAGTTTATATGGCTATGCTAAAAGAAGCTATTGGTGCAACTAGTCTCCAGAAGTGTGTTTGAACTCATCTCATTCCCTCCTGCTTGACCTTCCTCTTTTCATACATGTTGTATTATGGTACACTTTTAGTCACCATCTTAGTGAAAGAGGGGGTTTAGGCTGTTAATACCTTGTCTTAAAAAAAAAGAAAAGAGGAAATGAAAAATGCCAAATTATATTAAGCTAGTACTAGGTGGAGCGAAATAGAATCACCTATTATAACATACACTGACCTTTGCAGCTCAGAAAATTCTCTGGCTTTTTGCTTTAAAAGAGAAGTATAGGCATTTAAAAAAAGCCATGGCTCAGCTCTTGGTCTTCAGTCTGAAGACTCTACTCTTCCCTTTCAGAGCTCACTTGAGTGCTGGTTTGTGGAGGGGGCTGGAGAGGCCGGCTCAGGCTCTCAATGGCTTGCCCAGAGGCTGAGCCATCTGCTGGTCCAGGCATCTGGGTGGCAGGGGCGGACTGACCATTTGGAAACTCGAGCACTGCCCGAGGGCTTGGGGTCAGTAGGGGGCCCCATGAGATGCCCCTGGTACCTTTTTCATAGGCTTTTTTGTGCTTGGGCAAGGACACAGGGGCCTCATGATCCCCTATTGCCCGGGGGCCCCATGAGTTGTCAGTCCGCCCCTGCTGGGTGGATCCCAACTTTACAGTCGGGATCTTTCTTGAGCCTGGACCCACTGAGTGACCTCAATCAACAGCAGGTTTTACCCCACTGTTGCCTCAAAAAGGGTTCATGGGAGTGCAGATCTAAGTGCACCCCTGTGACCCATAGGAGAAGTGAAGCCAAAAGAGCTTTGGTCATATTTCTTTAATGTTGCCTGTACAGAGTAGACTTTTCTTGTCACTTGATTTGTCCTGAATGGCATTCTTGTTATAGTAGGTTTATCATCACCTGGAAGCACATTACATAAAAATAAAAACAAAATTGCATAGATGTCATTTTGTGGCCAGATAAGCAGTCACCTGTTCTCTTTCAGGAAAGAACATATATACCGGAAGATCAGAGATTTTCAAACAAGCACTCATATTCAGTGTATTGCTACTCAGAAACCATCCCAGCACCAACAGACAAGGACAATACTTACCAGAAATCAGTAAGTATAAACAGGAGAGACTGAGGTCTCCAATGTATACACCTCAAATGAAAAAAAAAACAGTGTTAAAGTGACAATAAACACAGGTTTAAACATTTTCAAGTATGTATTGCTAACTCAAAAAAAGTACCTTTTATCAGCCTCCTCCAAACCTCCAAGTTGTTTGCTGCTGTGACTGACTGTTAGAGAGTGGCTACATTTGTTCTCCATGGTCCCACTGTATGTAGGCGACATGAACTATAAACTATGGGGTTTGCAGTATTCATTGAGCAGTGCACACGTCCACAACCAACGTGCACTACCCGTTCCAGTGAGGGAGAAAAGCAGAGGTTCAGGAGCTCATGAAGGATGTTACAAGGAGGCAGAAAAAACACAGTAAGAAATGATTTCATGGAAAATAGATTATAGGGCCATTAAGTATTGGATATGTATGGGTTTTTATTGGAGAAAAAGGATATTGTTTAGTGTCACTAATGCCTTCCTTTTTTCACAGCTCTTGAAGAAGGCGTCCTCTCAAGGGGTTTTTTATCAGAGGAGGGCACGATAATATGTAGGAATATAGAGAGAGAGAGAGATCAGTCAGTTGATCCAGGGAATATCCAATTGCCTCTCAGAGGATCAGGAAATAATTTTTTTCACTACAGGAGCAAATTGGATCATGCTTTGCTGGGGTTTTTTTGCCTTCCTCTGGATCAACTGTGGGTATAAGATTAGAACTTTTTTTTTTTTTTTAATGGTTGAACTGGATGGACTTTTGTCTTTTTTCAGCCAGACTAACTATGTAATCAGTGAGGATAAAAGTAGTGATTTTGGCAAAACGCATTCTGCAGTAAAATTATTGAAGCAGAAAATTCCTTGAAAAAATTTACTTTTTTTTCTTTGTGTGTATTTAGAGTGATTTAGTTTATTTTCATTTAACGGTCTATTTGTTTTTTCCTTTTTTGTATATTTATTTGTGTACTGTCAACTCAAATGTTTTAGTTTCTAAATATTTACTAGCTATTTTGTTTCTGTGAATGAAGCATAATATTAGGCTATAAAGGGTTGTTTTTGTCAAAAGAACAGGTTCAGAATAGTTTGAAGGAGCTTCCTTAATCCTCAGGAGCCATTTAGGCTAGGTTCACACTAACCCACAAGCTGCGGAGCGGGTGCAGGATTCGCATTTGTTCTTGCACCTGCAACCGTCCACAACATTCTGAATGGCACCCCCAACCATCTCAGCCCACAGCGTGATCGCGGGTGTGGGAACCTTTGACATGGGCACAGCAGCCCATTCAAAACGAATGGGCTGTCATGCCCCCGCAAACATAGCCCACACTAGTGTGTACCAGGCCTTAAGGTCTGAGGAAGGGAATTTCATCTTCCTCATTGAATTCAATTCAAAATTACGCTGAAATCTTCCAATTTTTTCTTAAATTTCGGGAAAGTTAAATCACTCAATTTTGTCCATCCGTAATCACCAGCACACACGGTTTATGAGATTTTAACAGGCATAGTATTCATCAAATCTTTCTTTTAGAGCTCATTTACTCTTATGGCTGAGGGGCTGTAAAAACTGTTCCCCCTTAAGCTGTACACATGCAGTGGTTGTGATGCTTTGAATCTCAGCCAGACTTAAACCCTTTTGAGTGAATAAGGCCATGCTGCAACCTCCAACACGCAAATCATACAATTGCGGCACAATATTTTAGGAGTTTAAACAGGTAGTGAGGAGGCAACATAATGCCTTCTAACCACCTATCAAACGTCCTCAGAAAAAATGATCCACGGTAGATTGCTCTTTAGAGTACTAATACTAATGTAAACTAGCCCTTAAAATGTTCTCAATAATTGTGAATGGCTTTTTTTTTTTCATGAAAACCACAATATGAACTAAGCTTCTATCAACATCAGCTCTGATAGATGTTCTACTTCTGTCATATAAGTTATGAAATAATCCTCAATAATGCTGGGAAAACTGTATCATGAATGTTCTATTGGTAATATGTTCATCCCACAGGATATGGACCTCCTCCGCTTCTCCCTCACACTCCTGCAATCATGGATGACTCCTGTCCAAATGCTCAACAGAGTTCTTGGCAACAACCAGGTGTTTGGGAACATTGACAGAATTTATGACAGACTGCGGGACCTCGACGAAGGAATGCATATTCTCATAAGAGTGAGTATCTTGCATATGTTCTTCAGCAAACCTAAATTAAGAGCAGCCACATATAAAACAGCGTAGTTTGCACAAAAGGTATAGTGTCTGCAAACTATGGGACATATATTGGAATTTTTTTTTTTTGTTATACTAGTAAAGGCGGCGATCAGCAACTTATAGTGGGACTGCGATATTGCGGTGGACATTTTTACACTGACACTTTCTGGGAACCAGTGACAATAGAGTGATCAGTACTAAAAAAATATACACTGATTACTGTACTAATGACACTGGCTGGGAAGGGGTTAACAAAGGATTATGTGTGTGCCTAGTTATGTGCTTGATGTACACTAGGTGGTGCTGGATCAAGAGGAGGTGATGGATCGTGTTCCCAGCTCTGCAGGGGCACACATTCAATCACTCCTCCTGTCTCAACAGAGCTGTGTCTATGTAAACACAGGTACAGCTCTGTTCTTCCTGCCCAACAATCTTCGTGTGCCAGCGAACATCCGTTTGATGGGACTCGCAGATCGACATCTGCTGTGACAGTTTACAGCAGAAGTGATCCGTCAGTGTTGAACGCGTGCCCCCACGAGATGGAAGTGCAAAATCACACATTATTTATATATTAGACGCACACACAATTTTGCACAGGAGAGCGGCCCTGTAGCAGTAATTCTGCTATCGGGTGAGGGTAAAGTGATAAAAAAAAAAAAAAAGACATTCAATTACTCATTTAAAGTTTAACTCCCTGTTTAAGAGAGAGAGAGAGAGAAAACAGGTGGCGCACACACCTAGTGCATTATCCAAGGTTTATTGTAGGAGTGTAAGAATAATAAAAACATACTCACAGACGAAGCATGTATCTAAAAAGCATAGAAAAATGACAATGGCCACAAGTACATACGATATCCCTGTTTAAGACTTTGAGGACACGGCCTGAGAACTTCACCTCTTAAAAATACCAATTTATTTCTTATGCATGCAGATGTCCATGTGATATATATATATATATATATATATATATATATACACACACACATACATACATACATATACATACATATACACACACATATACACACAAACACACACATATATACATACACACACACTGCAAATGAAATGTAAGAATCGAATTATTAAGGGTCAGTTCACATTACATGTGTTTCAGTGTTTTTTCGGCATCCAAAACGCACAGAAAGTAGGTTATAAGGTTGTCAATGTCATAGTTCACATCAATGCTTGCAGTTCCAATGTGTTCCAGATGCAGAAAAAAAAAATATAGAACAGGCTGTATTTTTTATGCACAGAACTGTACTGGAATGCGGTAAAACGCATCAAAAAACACATGTCTCTATTTAAATTGAAGAGAGGGGAAAAAATTTACTGGAATTCATCAAAAATTCTCCAGAACGTGTCAAAAACATGCATGCTGAAATGCATCCGGAACATATCTGGACTGCGTTTATATAGTGTGAACCAGCCTTTAACGAAGATATTTTATCATGTGGTCCACTTTGCAATCTGCTAAAAACCTACTAAAAGTTTTGCAACGTCATACAAATTGATCTAATTATTACTATAATTTACTCTATGTCAGCCCATATATTTAGAATTCTTTGAAACCTAACCTCAGATTGTACAGACCGCAATTTGTGTAGTCAGCATAAGAATCTTTGGAGAAAATGCTGCATACTGATAATTTTCTAATTCCAGGAAAAGTGACAGGTGCTGGAACAAACCATAACACTGCCAGTTGCCGCAATTGCTCTTGTTTAGCAACCATAGAAAGCTACACCCCAAACAGTGTCCTAGTTTGTCTTAGCCCATCAGTCATTTTTGTTAGACAGTTTTGTCTGCATATGAATGTGGAGAAAAGGACAATTAAAAGGGAATTTTAAAAAAATTATTATTATACGGATTATCCTTACGTTTATAAACCACATACAGGTATCAAATACAATTTCTTTTTATATGTATAAAATACAGCATGGAGACAGGGATGGATGAGTTTGCTTTAAATATTAAAAATGAATTAAAAAGCATTTTTATTTGTGGTGCTCAGATTCACTGTAGTTCCACTTTAAAAGTGGTAAATGGTCGGAAACATGTAACTGGGTTTTAACCAACACATACGTTTTATCACCAGGAGGTGGATGATGGAAACGTCCGTAACTACGGCCTGCTGACTTTTACATACGATAAGTTTGATGTCAATCTGCGCACCGAAGAAGGCCGGGCAAAGAATTATGGTCTTCTTTCTTGTTTCAAGAAAGACATGCATAAAGTAGAGACCTACCTGAAGGTGATGAAGTGCCGGAGATTTGTGGAGAGCAACTGCACCTTTTAATCAAGAAACAGGAATTTTTTTATATCCTCCATAGTCCCCCCACCTCCTGCAGACACCCGCTGCATTTTTATATCTTCAGGAGGTAGGGACCAATATTATTATATATTCCTTTTAAACTTCCTGACCAATGCACATTTTTTTTTTGCAGATGTATTTTGCTTTGTGCTTTTGATGTCTTTGTATGTTGTTAACAAATAAAGTATAGGAGGCATTTACATGAGTTATGAGGTCTGGTCTAACTATATAAATGCATATTTAAACATAGCAGAATCATCAATTATAAAAACATAAAAACATGTATTAGCTGAATATATACAAACATTTAATAGATACTGCATTTAAATATTTTTTGAAAAAAGAACATTAACTGCATTCATAGTCATTTTAGTTTTCTTGAACTTTCTATCAAAAAAACTATCAGTCTAATTTATGGCTGATTATGTTTGATCAATTTAAAAGAGAACCTTCAGCCTACCACCCACCCCCAAACAATTTTTTTTTTTTTATACCCTTGCTTACCGGGTGGTGCTCAGATACTCACCCAGCCACCGCATCCAGCATTATCCCGCTGACATCCTTCTGTCAACAGACACCACTCTGTCACACGCCGTCATCTTACTTGTGATGTCACCGAGAACCCAAAAGAGCTGTCAGGACCTCACAATGATGTATGCGCACACCCCTCCAAACTGAGTTTAGGCGTATCCAGTAGAGAGTACTGGTAATGCTACAGCATACAAAGACCATCATGCGCTTTCAACTTTGTGGGAACAGATTCAGGAAGGTTCTGTTCCAGCATGCAGCGCATTTATGTTCTTGTGCTACTCCCCCACCAGAGTGCCCAGAGACTCCTGGTCAAGTTTTCGCTTTCTGTAAAATGAACACAGAGCTCAGTAAGCTCCTCCACACTCTTCTGTTTCAGATGAAACACAGCAGGAACATGCAGCAAATATCAGCTCAACCCAAAACCAAGGCTGCATTTTTTTTGATGTCTTCAGTGGCTTAAGACACGTATTTTATCCATTAGAGACTTCAATGGCAAGATTTCCCAGTTGTACTTTCACAGTGCTGCAATAAAAGGGTTTCTCACGCCTGGATTATCCAGTCGTTATACATTCTAGATTAAAGAACACTGTAGCCAAAGATGCTGATAAATATGCCAGGGAATAAGTCAGTTACCACAACAATAAACAACAAAATTATTAATTTTGGGTGAAGCTGGCTTTTAAATGCATACATATCTGCTTGCATATGTAACGTGAACTCAGCCTTCTGTTGCATCAATTTTACTATTCGAGTAACTGGAAAAAAAAAGACAAAACAGCCTGTACCTCTAGCTTAAAGTAATATTAAACTCTATGGTTTTTTAAAAGAAGCACACAGGTGGCACAAACATCTAGTGCATTATCCAAGGTTTATTTAAAAATGTAAAAAGACAAAAAAAATATACTCACAAAATGAAGTACAAGAAAAAGCATATAAAGCCATAGGGATGGCCCAAATTGATGGCAGAGTGTCCGACTAGTGGTGCAGTAGGCCTTCTGACGCGTTTTGGGGATGTATTCCCTTCCTAAGAGCTATCAATACATTGTATTCCCTGGCATTGACCCCTTTGAAGCTCTGGAGAGTTAGTGCTGTTTTTTTAAATAATGTATTGAAAGCAGCCCTAGCATTCTCGAGTATAACATTTTATGGCTATGAAAGCAGCAACACTTAATTGAGATACATTGCAGCACCGCCAGCTTGGGGCCTTTCAGCACAGTGTCCCCTAAATTTCCTCTCAGGAAGGAGCAAGTTTCAGGTATCAGTGGACAGTACAGGTGACAGCAACTGTCCATCATCTAGCTTGGAGAAGGAGGCAGGAGTGGCATGGTGTGGGGCTGTGTGTTCAAATGGACGCACACATTGCATAACACATAGCCGTGAGTGTGCATGCCAACGTGGCTCCTTAGGGCCCTATGAGGTAAAGGAGCCACCTAGAACCCAAAAGCAAGGCCAGCGAGAACTTGCAAGGTTTATACTGGCCAGAATGGATACAGGAAGAGGAAGCATAAAAAGCAATAGGCAGCACAGTGGCTACGTGGTTACCATTCGCACTACAATGACATGCTGGTAGGTTCATTGGCTCCTGTCTAAATTGGCTCCAGTATGTCTATTTATGAATGTGAGTTAGGGACCTTAGATTGTACTCCCCTTGGAGGAGTTGATTATAAAAGGGTGTTACTTAAACAAAACCCCTTCCCATTTCATGCTGTCAGCAGGGGCGGACTGACCATTTGGAAACTTGGGCACTGCCCAAGGGCCCGGGGTCAGTAGGGGATGAGATGCCCCTGGTACCTTTTTCATAGGCTTGAGTTTGGGCAAGGACACAGGGGCCCCATGATCCCCTATTGCCCGGGGGCCCCATGAGTTGTCAGTTTGCCCCTGGCTGTCAGCAATGGCGCCACATGGAAGAGAAATGTCACAAGACCTGAGAAAGAAAATAAAGAAAGGTAAGGGTTACCAGAACATCAGCAAAGCTTTACTTATCAGTCAGAATATTGTAGCAAAAGTGATACAAAAATTTAACAAAAATGGAACTGCAACCATCTCACAGAGACATCCACAGAAGTTAACAACTTGATAGAAGCATCTTCTAATGAGAAGGGTTGAAGAAAATTGCCATGCAAGTTCACTGCAGTTAGCTAAAGAAGTAGAAAGCCAAACTGGGGTGATTGTTTCCCCTGCCACAATACGGCGTACACTGCAGAGGAATGGCATGCATGGGTGTCATCCACGAAGGAAGCCTCTCCTAAAGCCCATGCACGAAAAAGCCACCTAGAATTTGCCAGGGCCCATGCTGAAAAAGAAGACTACTGGAACTCTGGAATGATGAGGCCAAGATGAATGTTTTTGGAATTGATGGTTTCAAAAGTGTATGGCATCGCAAAGGTGAGGAGTACAAAGAAAAATACATGGTGCCTACAGTGAAACATGGTGGTGGTAGTGTCCTTCTGTGGGGCTGCACGAGTACTGCTGGTGTCAGGAAGCTGAATCTCATTGATGGTATCATAAATTCACAAATGTACTGCTCTAAATTGAAAGAGAAGATGCTACCATCACTTCATGACAATGATCCAAAACACACATCTAAGGCCACTGTTGCATTTCTGAAGAACAGGGTGAAAGTGATTCAATGGCCAAATAGGTCTCCTGATCCGAACCCAATCGAACCCCTATGGGGAGTTCACAAGTTGAGCATCGCTCTCCATCCAGCGTCCAGGCTCTAAAAGAGGTAATTCTTGAAGAATAGAAAACAATCGATGTTACAATATGTCGCCAACTTTTTATTCCATGCCTAGAAGACTTGGTACTGTCCTTACAAATCATGGAGGTCATACAAAATACTAGATGGAGTAGTTTTTGTTGTGGGGCGGATTCATTTTTGCATCAACCAATTTGAGCTAAACAAATGTTCTATAACACTCAGTTTTGTCAAAATTTGGGAAATTGTTCTTGTTTTCATTGAAATATTGATTAAAATCTTACTTTTCAAAAAGGGGTGTACTCATGTATGCTGAGCACTGTATATGTAAAGCGTTGTGAAAATTGTCGCCACTGGCGGCATCCAGTTCCTGAAAGGAGACATCTGGAGTCTAATAGACCCCAGGACTCTTCGAAAAGAGGACCTGTTACAGCCCATGTTGTTCATCCCTTCTGGTAGCAATAAAAGTGATTAAAAAAAATAAAAATTAAAAGTTAGTGTAAAAAAAAGTGTTAAAGCACTCGCATTCCCTTATGCTCACACACAAATGAGAATGCATGCATCAGTCCTGCACACATATGTAAGCGCAGATTGCAGCACGCAAGTGAGGTATCACTGCGAACATCCTGTGTTAACTCTAAACTGGTAACCTGTAAAGTGTTGCCTATGGAAATTTTTTGCTACAGAAGTTTGGCATCGTCCCATGGGCATACATAATTTTAAAGCTTGACATGTTTGGTATCAGTTTACTAGACATATCATCTTTTATATTTTACCAAACAATTGGGGATTATATTATGTTTACAAATTAATTAAAGTGTATTTTTTTGCAAAATATTTGCATTTGAAAACCGCTGCGCAAATACAGTGACATAAAATTTTGCAGCACCCGCTATTTCATTCTCTAGGACCTCTGCTTAAAAATATGTATAATGTTTGGAGGTTCTAGGTGGTTTTCTAGCAAAAATTATGTTTTTTATATGTAGAAAAGGAATCTCAGAATTGGCTGGTACTGGAAGTGGTTAAATAGCGCTGCCACATAATTAAACCAGGCCCTGACTCACTGTTTCTTAATTGCATGTCTGATTAGAGTGAAAATCTCTTTTGTCCAGTTCTAATACTTCTCAGAACTTTGCAAATCTGTCATAGTTGGCTGCCCTATATAACAGGCACAAGGGTTGCAAAATAAGACTTTCACAGAGACTGAGAGGCAGCCTGATATCTAATTGTGTCACTAATTTATAGTGCTATTCTTTGGAAGCAAAGTCAAACAATAACATTTGGAAAAATAAATAACATTAAATTTAATATAGTTTTTTACAGCAAAGAAATAATTTAACATAAATCAGCCAAATTCTCTTAACCTATAAACAAATGTCCACTTATTCTCCACCTGCCAAGGTACTTCATAGAAACTGAGGTTTGCTAGCATCCCCTCATCATCCTCGTCTCCTATGTCCATGGGTGCCCAGGTAAAATCATTGACCTGTTAGAAAAATACAGCAGTTTATACAAATATGACACAAAAGTGCAATGTAGGATTTTCACATCATGTTTTACTTTTTAATCGTGTTTAAATTAGTTTTTCCTTTTCAGAAATAAAAAAGGGGAGGATGGGCCCAAAATAGAAAACATAGCGAAAAACAATACTACAACTAAAGTATAACAACATAATTCACAAACATTCACTCACCCATGTATTTGATCTCAATGCTCCCCAAAACAAGGAGAGGTTACATATAAAAATACAGTATCCATGCATATAGAACAAAACAGTTTTTGTTCATTGCTCTCTCCAATGCCTAGTGAAGGCTTACAGGAAACACATACACAGCTAATTTTAGACCCAACATAAAAAACACCATCAAAATTTATGTTGATGAAACTGTGTACTCTGTACCTGAATGAGCCCCTGCAACTCTTCTTCTGTAAGACAATCTACAGTATCATCTTCATCAGGAACATACTCCACAGCAACTTTCCCATTGTCTACAAGCCAAGTACAAAGATCTGATTTGATAAAAATGTATATTTTAGAATAAAGTGGCAATATCGTCCAACAAGTCTAAAAGAGGGAGCTTTGTGAATCCATGTGTAACTGTGTATGATTTGATATCTGTCCAAATATGTAACTATGATGACAGTGTGCACCCACACACATAAGAATTAATATATTTATATAAAACCTACCTGCTTCTATTGTTGATGCTAAAATTGTTCAATAAATGGGCATTGGCCAATGGTCTGCATCCTGCTGTTCCCTTAAGGTGCAGAGCTTGCTGATCAGTACAGTCCATCCATACCATAATCTTAGATTTTTGAGTGAACTTACGCTCCTTAAAGAAGTGTTATTGTCAGTGCAAAGGTGAAGGGATCTTTCACATAGTAGGAAAAAGAAAAAAAAAATGAACCAGTCTTACCGAAAACTACCAATAAAATCTTCTTAAAAGCACTAGAGAGCGCCTTTTGAACAGCATATTTCTGAACTTTTCCATTCTTAGAAAGAAATTCTGTTGGGTCTAAAAACACAAAAAAAGTTAAAGAACTGAATTTTAGCAAATATAGTATACTAGATAGGTGTCAAAACCTAACATTATCTGAAGTGCAGCTCTTACTGACACATGGCAAAGGCTAAGAGATGAACGAATTGGAAATATTTCTACAGGAAGCCTATTAATTATATGGCAAAAACCAATATGAGTAATCAAAAGTGGACTTAAACTCATTTTATTTCAAGTTTGATCGACCAGCTAGGGTATAAATTTACCAATCAGCTGGCAAAAGTAGGTTACTACTTCTGAAACATGTGACCTGCAGCAGCTCTGCACTGGGGGTGCTGAACCCTGTGGCTTAGGGTCACAAAACTGGAATCCAGAGAACAGCAGAACCTGATATTTATGTTTACACTTTATTTTGTGGTCCTCTTCATAACGTAATCTATTTTGATCTAATACACTATTTGTGCATGCAGCGAAAAATGTTCATTTCACACACACAAAAAAAAAAAGGATTGGTGATCACTGGCAAGATATTTTTCAGTATGATATAAAGGGGTCTATGTTTTCACAAAACTCTCACCTTGGATTCACACATTTTACCCCAGTTGAATCCAATTAGTAAAATGCATGAAAATAAAGCAGTTCGTGTTTATGGTGTGCCATCACCACTAACAGGCTTACAGTATACCATGCCATTAGTGAGCTCTTCTTCTCATGGTGCCATTTTTTCTCATAACATATGCTTATTACATAACATTATAAACTGAATTTTGTTTTATTTTTTTACTATTGCAAAGAAAGCTACTTGCTTGAATTTGATTTATTTTCACACCTTATTAAAAATTCAAGAACTAGACCTGTCATTCTCCTCTTTGCTTCATGACTTATTGAGCCACTGACCTGAAACAAGTATGTAGATCAGGAGGGCTGACCTCAGTAGCTGCAGACCTGCTTTGGATCAGTGACTTGTTATGGAGTGAAGAGGAGGATGGTAGCTCATTCAAGCAATGACAGTTACCACACTTTTATCGGTTCAGAGATTTAAAGCATTTTAGAAAGAACAGAAAAAGAGAAAAAAACTAAAGGATAAATTCACCTTTGGAACATGTTACACATTCCACTCGTATTTAGGATAGAACATGTAACATGTTCTAGCTCCTCCCTCCACGTGACAGCGGACTGGGGATCTTTTCCCCATACCCGCTGTCACAATTTAAAAACCAGTGTGGGCATGAGGGGTTCTGTCCACACGGTGGGTCATTCATTCACAGTATTCTGTGAATTAATGAACTACATCTACTGTCAGCCTCTGTGGCTGATGGCTAGTATTTCTCAATGAACTGTGAGGGTGTTGGTGAATGCTCTCGTAGTCCATTGATTCTTCCTGCCATTCATTAACTGCCTGTCCGTACAAGGTACAGGCACACAGCTGAGTTTCTGCAGGAATAAGGCATTTGCACCAGAGACCTGCTGATCGAGGGTGCAATGACTTACAGGCTGCAGTGTGGGAAAACAACAAATGCACATTTTCTAACCTGCAAAATGGGTGTACTTTTATTTTATTTTTTTTTTATCAAAGGTGAACTTAGTCTTTCAGAATAGAAAGTATTAGGCCAGGTTTATTATATTTTGAAACATTGTGATCTGTGTGCAATTAGTTCATCTGATATCAGCTGTCCAGGAAATGAGAGTTGAGAATTACTAATACAGCGCACCAATTTTTAGATTTCTAGTCTGCCACCATTCTCAGACAAGTACCGTTCTGTTTCTCAAGAGCTTCCTCAGAGACACCGACTCCTCTGCTGCGAATTTCATAGTCACGAATGATCACCTCAACTACACAGAGGTATCTTAACTTTGCCTGTTCCTTAGGACTCCCTTCTTCATCAGCATCATCATCCAGGCCAGAGATATTCTGAAGCTGAGAGAGAAAACAAGACTGAAATTGTCACACGATTGTGTAGAAAAGATTTAGATCTCAGATACTCTTAATAAATTTTAGTCAGGCTATCTAATTCTTGTAGCAATAAACATGTATTTGCTTTAGAAAGCTGTATACGTCACAATATCATCTAAGTACTGACTTAGAATAAAAATATATATTTATAAGAATAATAGTAACAAAAAAAAATGCCAGTAACTCACTGCAATTACTCTTTGGCTCCAACCATTGAACCCCAAGTAATAGTTAGCCAGCTCTTGGCATTTGTAGCCATAAAGCTCCAGTGATTTGAACTGCAGACCTTTCTTTCTATTGCACACCTGCACCTGTGAGATAGAAGAAAACATACTCATGTATATGCCGTGAAAATAGGGAGGTCAGCAGGCCATAGCATTTATGCAAAAATCCTGTAAACTTTTGTGACCGGAGGTCAGAGGTATCGACATATCCAGAATTCTGTACATTTAGCAGTTTCAGCTTGCATTGGTAAAGGCCTGCCTACATAAATCATTTTCATATTGTTTTATATAGACAGAAGATTTTTATTTGGTGTAATGAGTTAAGTTGACCCATACACTAAACAACCAATAATAGCACCAAAAACAAGTGTATAGTGAATAGCCCATTAAAATAATACAAGCAGTTTTTACACAGTATGCTGGTCATTCAAACCTTCAGCATCATTCAACCCACTTCCTCTGAGCCCAGGAAAACTGTACAGTGAAAGGAGAAGCAGCATATTGATGAGCTCATTTTTCTGTCACTCTACTTCTCCTCCTATTAATGTGCACATCAGCACATGAATAGAATAGCTTCTTATACTGCTTCTCCCTCTTACATCAGAGCCCTACTGCATGGAAATTAAAACAAGCTGCTACTAAATCAAATTCAGATATTTACAATGAATGAATGAATGAAATAAATACATTTCATCTGGGTTCACACTGTTGTGCTGTGCATTTTGCAATAGTGACACTCATTCTTTAACCTCCCTAGCGGTCTGATTATGTCAATATTTCTGTGCTCAAAGTGGTACTTTTTTTGCATGGAAATATGTATTTTTTTTATTGTAGGCCTGTAATTTTTAGGAATAACTCACTGAAATCTGTCCGAACAAGAGTCTAGTAAACATCCCGGGTATGTTTAAAATTTGAAACACAAAATCATAAATTATAATTTAATAAATAATCATAAAAAATAATAATACATTTAATTCAATAATATAATCAAACCAAAAACACTGAAATTTGAAATAGAGCGCCCATCACTGAGCAAAGTCGCAGAAACGTTTTCAGTGTCTGATGATGAATTTCCCCACGAATCATTATCACTCAATTCTGTAAGTGGTTCTAATTTACTATCGCTGTTCTCTAGCCGGTCTAAAACCACTTTTGACCTAAACGGATGTTTTTTGGACACCATGAACGTTTCTCAGTTTCCAGGCAGAAAGAACAGTAAAAATGCAGGCAGGACACAGGACAAAGCACTCGGGACAAAATGTATGTGAAATGGTTTGATACAGGAATGTTTTACTATGTGATTTTAGTGTATTTAGTGAATGTCACTTTTTAACATTTTTAAATTTCCCGTTAGTTCCGTCCCCGTACGTCCCGACGTCGCAGGGAATGGAAACTGGAGGACGGATGCACGCATCGGCTGGAGGACATTGCCGGAGACGCTGCAGGGGGGACATCGCGGGAGCGCAGGACAAGATAAGTGCAGAAGAGATCCCGGAGCAGCGCCGCATGGTAAGCCCGAGTGCAGCTCAGGGTTACCGCTTTTGGTGCTGAAACTTTACCCCGAGCTACACTCGGGAATACCGCCAGGGAGGTTAAGGCACCCCAGCACACCTTGCAGTGGACGTGTATTGCAGCTCACCGCATTGCATGATAATGCACTACTGTACGCCATGTTACAAAAGCAACACATGCACCTTCCTTGTTGCACTAGACAGGCCTTTCAAATGAACTTGCCTGCCATGGTGGAACACACTTCAATGTAGTACTGCACCACAGTTGTGTGAACCCAGCCTTAATGATCCATTCATTTGTAACGTTTATATCTGCCTAAAGTTCAGCTTTAAACACTTGCCTACGGGGCACTTTTACGCCCTTCCTGCCCAGGCCAATTTTCAGCTTTCAGTGCTGTCGCTCTTTGAATGACAATTGCACGGTCATGCAACACTGTACCCATATTAAATTTTTATCATTTGTTTTCTCACACAAATAGAACTTTCTTTTGGTGGTATTTAATCTCTGCTGGGTTTTTCTATTTTTTGCACTATAAATGAAAAAAGGTTTTCTTTGTTTCTATTATAAAATTTTGCAAACAGGTACATTTTCTCCTTCACTGATGTGCGTTGATCAGGAGGCACTGATAGGCGGCACTGCTGGGCACTTTTAGGGTTGCACTAATAATCAGTGGCCTGATTATCAGTGTAGATGTCCTCTGTGACACTTCCCGGTTATTGGCAGTACTTTCCTTACACTGTGACAGCGTGAAGGAAGTGCTAGCGATAACAAGTGTATTTACTTTATTGACTGTGTCATTGGACACAGCTGATCATGTGGTAAAAGGCTGCTGTAATTGGCCTTTTCCCTTGTCATGTGATCAGCTGTGTCTGTAGGACACAGCGATCACAGACAGCACTGGAGGCGCGTTCTGGCAGCACGTCATATGATGCATTTTGGCTATAGCTCGGTTGTCAAGTGGTTAATATGACACTCTGGGGGAGATTTACTAAAACTGAAGCACTCAAAATCTGGTGCAGCTGTGCGCGGCAGCCAATCAGATTCTAACTTCAGTTTCTTCAATTATGTTTTACAATAAAACCTGGAAGCTGATTGTTTTCTATGCAGTGCTACACCAGATTCTGCAGTTTTAGTAAATAACCCCCCTCCCCTATACACACACTGCATGACCCATCTAAGTTTGAACTTAACCCATGTGGGCAGCACAGTGGCTAAATAGTTATCACTTCCGCCTGGCAGTACTAGGGTTGTTGGTTCGAATCCCAGCCACGGCACCACCTGCCTGCAGTTTGCATGTTCTCCGTATGCCTGTGTGGGTTTCCTCCGGGTACTCTGATTTCCTCCCACACTCCAAAGACATGCTGGTAGGTGAATTGAACCCTGTCTAAATTGGCCCTAGTATGTGTATGTATGAATGTAAGTTAGGGACCTTAGATTGTAAGCTCCTTGAGGGTTAGGGACTGATGTGAATGTACAATATATATGTAAAGCGCTACGTAAATGGACGGCGCTATATAAGTACCTGAAATAAATAAACCTTATGGTGCTGGCACCTCCCAGCCCTTTAAGGGTTTCAGAAGCCGGAAGGAGGGGGGGTTAGGGTCATGTGACTGCCGTGATTCGCCGTCACGATTGGGAAAGGTCCCGATTGGAAGAGATCGGGACCTTTCTGTGAATACCGGACTTGCCTGCTGGGAGCACACAGGGCGCGCGCTCTCTCAGCACATGGTTTTCTTAATTGCACGCAAATGTGTGGCCACTCGGCGTCAAGGCCCAGACACCAGGAGGCCGCACATTTGCGTGCGGCCGGCGCTAAGAGACTAAAGTAGACTTAGACTCGCAAGCGCATTTCCAAACCTGTACCTTTCAGATATCTGGCACTCTTGTCAAACTTCCAGGACCTTCTCAGACTACACACTCACACAAACACTTGGTCATCTAGCAACCGATTGTAAATTTGATGATCGAGTGATCAGAAGGGTCTCCACCACTGTCAAATCTAAACCAACCTACCGTGGCAGATAACCAGCTTGGGTAGATACACAATATTCTTTGATGAGAGATGAAACTAAGTTCATATACCCGAAGCACATATTTTTCTCAGTGGGGTGCAAACACGACACTTTGACCATGCATAAATGTATCAAATATTTACCTTTAGAGGTGTGTCCTGAAACAAGGACTTCCTGTCACACGCCGTATGGGCTTTCTTGGCACTCTCCGATGAGAAATATCTAATAACGGCATAATAACCTGGGTCAGTAAACACCAGCGTTTGGGAAAAGCTTCAGAGAGTACAGGGGTCCAAACTGAGAAAACACCTTCATCAGGGAACACTGCAGATGAACAAATGAGTGTGAGAACACATCACAAACAGAACGGTTTAGAGAAAAGCGCTGGGGACTTGTTCCCTACAGAGAATGGCCGGCAGAGTTCACACTAATGTAGGTGGTGCAGCTCGTGTTTGTGTGTGAGCACAGAAGTCCATGTGAACAGGCTGCTGTACCAATGAGAACCACAGGGAAAAGCCTTTTAAAGGCTGGTTCACACCAGAACACTGTGCAGGAAACCCGCATTCAAAACGCACCGTAGTTGCGATCTGTAGCGGGTGTCAACGTAACTTAACGATAGCCCGTGAGATCCGCTTCCTGTGCGTTATATAAAGTAGTGCATGCGCTGCTTTTGGTGCAGTGAAATAAATGGTTCGAAATCAGCCTGCACTCAGGTCGCATGTGAATCTCACAGGAGCGCACAACGCATTCCTGTATGATTTATGGTGTGAACCGGCCCTTAACCACTCGCCCTCCAGAGGATTTACCCCTCTTCCTGACCAGGCCCTTTTTTTTTTTTGCTATCCGGCGCTGCGCTATTTCAACTGGTAATTGTGCACTCATGCAATGCTGCACCCAAACAGAATTTATGTCCTTTTTTTCACACAAATAGAGCTTTCTTTCGGTGGTATTTGATCACCTGTGCGCTTTTTATTTTTTGCACTATAAACAAACAAAAGACCAAAAATGTTGAAAAAAAACCAATATTTTTTACTTTCGGCTTTTAGTAAACAAAATGTATTCTGCTACATGTCTTTGGTAAAAAAAAATCCCAATACATGTATATTAATTGCTTTTGTGTGAAAATTATAGCGTCTACAAACTATGGTATAGATACTGGGATTTACACAGCTTTTACTTTCTGACTGCTCATTGCATTTCTTGAGGTGCTAAAATAACAGGATAGTACAAACACCCCCAAGTTACCCCTTTTGGGAAAGTAGATACCCTAAGCTATCTGCTGAGAGGCATGTTGAGTCCATGGAAGATTTATTTTTTCCCCACAAGTTTTTGGAAAATGGCAAATATATAAATATATATATTTTTTTTTTTTACACAAAGTTGCCCCTTAAATGATAAATTGCTGACACAAGCCATGGTTATATGTGGAATTACACCCCAAAATACATTCTGCTACTGCTACTGAGTAAGGGGATACCATGTGTGCGAGACGTTTTGGGAGCCTAGCCACATACAGGAGCCTGAAATCCAATGACCACTTTGAAAGCCTGAAGGTGCATAACTTCCTCATTTCACTTCCTCACTACCTATCACAGTTTTGGAGGCCCTGAAATGCTCCCTGACTCGCAGGTAAACTGCTGCTCTGTATCAAGACATGTGGGAGAAACATTTTTAGCCGCTTCCCGACTGCCCTAAAACAGAACTACTGCCACAGGGCGACCCAAAATCGTGTTTGTGTGTATGTATATATATATATATATATATATATATACACAGACACACACACGATTTTGCAGTTCTGGGTAGGGGGTGCGCGCCCTACCCGCATCGCCATTAGCGGCCTCAGCTGTCAATCGCCAGGTCCCAGCCAGTGATTACTTGCCGGCACCCAGTGATCACCGAATAATACCGATAGTGGCAAAGAACTGTATGTAAATACAGTTCTCTCCCATTAGCTCCAACACACTGCTTTGTATGGCTCTGCATAGCAGAGCCATACAAAGCAGTGTGCTTACAGTGGAAAGCACACACACAGCCCCACAGTAAACCCTTTGATCGCCCCACGTTAACCCCTTCCTGCCCAGTGTCACTGCTTTTTATTACCACTGATGATTGTATTGGTGTCACTGGGGATGTCCGTGACACCAAGTCAGTTCCCCCCAGTGTCAGAACGCCCACCACAATCCCTGAACTTGCTGATTGCCACCATTACTAGTAAGAAAATTTTTTTTTAAATTCCAGTGTCTATACCGCCATTTGTAGATGCTTTCACGGAAACCAAATAATTTACACGTATTGGGATTTTTTTTTTTTCTTTTAGCAAAGACATGGAGCAGAATACATTTTGACCTAAATTTATGATTGAGATTTTTTTATTGGATATGTTTAATAGCAAAAACATTTTCAGTCACTGACATTTCAGTGCATCCCTAAAGAAAATTCTTTCAGAATTCGACCGATGGATGGCCAGCTTTAGGCTAGGTTTGCACTATGGCGATCACACGTGTAAATCACATGCACTCCCTGACTGGCAGGTAAACTGCGCTGCGCTTTGTCAAGACGTGCGGGAGAACCATTGTTAGCTGCTTCCCGACTGCCCTATAGCAGAACTACTGCCACAGGGCAGCAGGGCTGCGCAAAATCACGTATATATGTGTGACTTAGTATCTCCGGGTAGGGGGTGCGCACATGCCCTACCCACATCGCCGGCCTCAGTTGTCGATCACCGGGTCTTGGCTGGTGATTCCCCGCTAGCACCCGGCAATCGCCAAGGAACGCTGACAGGCAGGGGCGGACTGACAACTCATGGGGCCCCCGGGCAATAGGGGATCATGGGGCCCCTGTGTACTTGCCCAAACTCAAAAAAAGCCTATGAAAAAGGTACCAGGGGCATCTCATGGGGCCCCCTACTGACCCCGGGCAGTGCCTGAGTTTCCAAATGGTCAGTCCGCCCTTGCTGATGAGGGAGACAGACGTCAAGTGCATGAAACTGCAGGGTGCCAGAGTTCCATGGGGCACGTTTCGGAAAGGTTCTGGCACTGGTTGGCCTGGTCCAGCACACTGTTCAGATGAATAGGCCGCTGTATCCGTGACAGGAAAGCGCCAACATGAGGTGACATGCCCAACAACAAAGGCTGGCCACCACTGGGCCTCACACACTACAATAGTCGCACAGTATGTACAGTCTATGGCGGCCTCCATGTTACGAGGACACGGGTTTGTGGTGTATTACTATGAAGCTCACTCCTGTACATGAACGCGCCCATTAACACAATGCGCGCGCTTTCCACCTCCCGCGGGAACGCGCTTAGACAGCTGCCGACTAAACCCGGTCGGTTCCGTGACCGAAAGACCACCATCCCGGTGACTCACATAGATCTCCCCCTCGGAGAGCCGGGCCGCAATGTTCCATACAAACACCACTTTATTACTCTCCGCGGGCACGGTGAAGCTCACCACTTCCGGATCCATTTCTCCTCACGCAAAAGGACCGCCAAAAAACCGGCACCGCCCCCACTTCTCTGCTTTAGCCAATGAAAGTGGGCGAGGCGGGGTTTGCGTGTGACTGGTTGGTAGAGCGCTGCACGGTACGGGGGGCGGGGTTATAGAAGGGGTGAGAGGGGCTCTGTCATGAGAGGCTGCCATAGTCAGCACTGTAGCTGGGAATGCTCATTTCCTGGCTGTCAGGCTCCAGGTCTGTTTGAGCCGCTGACCAGAAACTGGCATAGAGATCAGGAATGCGGACTCTTCGTTAAAGCTGATCTGTAGTCACCCCCCTACTCCAGGGGGGCGGGCTTTTCCCAGATTCCGATCTTTGGCCATTATAATTGGCCGAACTGAGATGATGTCACTCACAGGATGATGTCATATGCACAGGAAACCACTGCAGAACCTCCTGGAGAAGTACACAACTTGATTATGGAGAAGGAATTCATCCCTAGGGACTATGCAGTGGTGTGATCTGTCACTGGCTGTGTCCACTGTTGGACAGCTTGTTGTCCAACAGTGGCCCCTGTACCATGTGATCGCTGTGACCAGGAGGTACAGACAGGGCCAATAACAGTGCACATGTACCATGTGATCACTGTGACCAATCACATGGCAAATGTACACATTGTCTTACATTCATAGCCATTCATTGTGTACTATTGTGATCTGTGATTGGTCGCAGTGATCACATAGTACAGACAAGACCAATCAGCACACCTGTACCATGTGATCACTGTGACCAAACACAGGGATCACTTGCCAAATGTACAGAATGTCATCCATTGCCGTTCATTGTGTACTATTGTGATCGCTCACAATGATGACATAGACAGGGCCAATCACTGCACCTGTATCATGTGATTGCTGTGACCAAATCACTGGGATCACTTGCCAAATGTACACAATGTCTTTCATTCATAGCCGTTCATTGTGTACTATTGTGATCACTGTGATCGGTCACAGTGATCACGTAGGACAGACAGGGCCAATCACAGCACACCTGTACCATGTGATCACTGACCAATCACAGGGATCACATGCCAAATGTACACTATGTCTCATTCATAGCCACTCTTAGTGTACTATTGTAATCGGTCACAGTGATTATGTGGTACAGACAGGGCTAATCACAGCGCACTTGTACCATGTGATTGCTGTAACCAATCACAGGGATTACATGTGAAATGTACAAATCTTTCATTCATAGCCGTTCATGGTGTACTATTGTGATTGGTACCAGTGATCATGTGGTACAGGCAGGGCCAATCACAGCTATCACAAATGTACACAACACATGAATGGAGGCCATTCGTAAAAATGATTGCTTATTACAGTGATCGGCACCGTTATAAGCATAGTGCAAAAACATAAATCCTGATCACCTCCCCAGATCAGTACTGTGTCACTATGGTAACACGCAGGGGCGGACTGACCATTTGTAAACTCAGGCACTGTCCGAGGGCCCAGGGTCAGTAGGGGGCCCCATGAGATGCCCCTGGTACCTTTTTCATAGGCTTTTTTGAGTTTGGGCAAGGACACGGGCCCCATGATCCCCTATTGCCTGGGAGCCCCATGAGTTGTCAGTCCGCCCCTGGTAACACGGCACTGCTCTGGTCACAGTATGCATTTTTAAAAAAAGAAAAATTGAAAAAAAAATTATATATATATATATATATATATATATATATATATATACACACATACACAGTTGTGTTCAAAATAATAGCAGTCAGATATCACTAACCT